GCACTTCAAGAAAAGTTGGACATCCCACTGAAAGCCGGGAAAAGGATGGAAAAGGTAAACAATACCTAAATCATCTTATAACAGCATCCGCGTCAAAGGCAGGCAAGAAAATGACAAGGCGGCAGCGGCAGCCAAGAGCGAAATCAGGAACAGAGACAAGCTTGGGAAACACGGCGGCAGCGGCAGCCAAGAGCGAAATCATGAAAGGAAACAAGCTTGGGAGACCAGGCGGCAGCGGCAGCCAAGAGCGCAGTCATGAAGGGAGACAAGCTTGAGAAACAAGACGGCAGCGGCAGCCAAGAGCGAAATCATGAAGGGAGACAAGCTTGGGAGACAAGCCGGCAGCGGCAGCCAAAAGTGAAATCATGAAGGGAGACAAGCTTGGGAGACAAGCAGGCAGCGGCAGCCAAAAGCGAAATCATGAAGGGAGACAAGCTTGGGAAACAAGGCAGCGGCAGCCAATTTCCGCAATCCGGAACCCATCCATTGAGAAGTAAGAACCCCTATAGCTTCCAGCTATCTGGGGAAAAATGAAGGACTGGAATTCCCATCAATATCCGGAAGAACAAGGATGCGAAACAAATGGCCTTCATCCTCGGTTGGATTCCCAGCACTCGGGGAGACATCCATCCTTGTGTTGCCAGCTACTCAGCTGCGTGGGACCTGTTCAGCTGAATATAGTATACTTGGAAGTATCAATCCATATTGTGTCATATTGTGCCGTAGTCAAGACCATGTAAAGCCGGTCTTCAAGACATTACAGGTAAGAAATTGCTCCAACATGTGTGGACTAAATGTGGTTGACAAGTAAGTTGCCATATTAAAGCCATTGAAGAGATGCTATGCTATGACATGGCGTGACATTGTATTGTGAAACAAAGCTTGGGCCAAAAACATATAAATCCGTTGTGACCGGACCATACACGATGGACCTTCGGGGCCACTCAGTGATACCCGCAAGCTGAAGCAATCTGAAGCGATACCCGCACCGCTCCTCCTCTCGGTGTACAGGATCACCATCCTGGAGTCGCACAAGCGGCAAACTGGAGGGAATCAGAACAGCTCAACAGGAGTCATGCATCTGATCGATTCTTTTTCGTCGATTTCACAGATGCTCGATTGACACTCAGGTCCCTGTCACTTTATCATGGTTTATCTCCTAGGCAAACGTATTACAAGATATTGCAAGGTTTCTAACATGCTGACTTGACAAAGCATCGCCTTGGGCTGCGGCTGCGGGCTCGGTTGATGCCACCTGAGCCCAAGAATGTGTTTACTTTCTGCTCGGATTCTGACACTGGCCTGCCATCTCCGAGACCTTACTCAGGCCAAAGCTGTGGCCCATCACTGCTTGAACTGGCACAGCTCCAACCCATCACAAATAACATATTCTGATCAAGAAAAACTGCAACAAAATACATCCAAATACTGTAACAATGCATTAATGGTGATGAATATGGTACTAATGTACTGTAATTATATATAATGCCCGTGCTTTACACCATAAGTCGAGTCCCTGCCGAATAGCTGTTAGGATGAAAACAGGTGACTTGGGGCTGGGAAACCATTGATTAGTAGAAAAATGCAACAAAGAGATGAAAAACAAAGAAAGAAATAAAGAAAGAAAGAAAAAAAGAAAGAAAGAAAGAAAGAAAGGAAGAAAACACATAAAGAAACACACAATTGTTTTTGTGGTTTACTTTCTCTCTATCCGACTTTGGAAGTTGCATTTCTGCTGCTTTTGCGTTTCTTGATGTCGCATCGCTGCGACAATACGCAGGTCAGGATGTTTGCCTCCTCGGATCTAGTCTGGAGCGCGAGTGCCGCCAGGGCAGCTCGGCTCCTTCGAGAAACATGAACGAAAGTGAGTTCCAGGCTTCCAAGTACTTAATCTGCTCAATCTCTCACTGCGAACTCCCAGATCAAATGTGCTATTTGCTCCCGAACCCTTGATACTTGATACAACAAACCCACAGCACTTGATATAAAAATCCAAGCCAAATCTCCATGGATCTCCGCTTCAATTCAATCACTCCAACTTTTCCGGAGACTGGGCTCATTTTCCCGTGATCAAATCAGAGAAACTCTAATCCTTCAAACTTCTGGTCTTTGACATGAAGGAATGGTGGTTCCATGAGCATCTTCCCCTGAAGGTCGAAGACGCAAATCTTCGTGGCCGTTCGGGAGCCAACTTCCAGGACTTTCAAGGCCGCATACGTGTCATTGGTGCCGGGCACTTTCCGCAGAGCCGCGAAGCCCCAGTCCGGCTCCAAGGGTCCCACGGAGAGCGCTTCGATCGTGGAGAAGTTCTCATCAGCCAACAACAGAACGTTGGTCCCACGAGTCTCATCGGCTGTTGGACTGTAGCTTTCGAGACTGGCTTTTCGAGGCAATACGATCCAACGTTGAAGCCATGCGTCCCAAATGATCGCTTCATGCCACAAATACCCAGGACTCTGAACCCCAAGGCTTTGCCGCATTGTCTCATAGATGCCTCGCCAGTCAAAGCTTTCAACGTGCCATTTGCTGTCAATTTGCTTCACCCACTGCGGATTGTAGTGCTGAATCTCACCATCATCACCAACCCATTCGCGGCCCATGCTGCCGACTATGAGGAAGCCATCCTGAAAGCGCAAGAAAATCTACGCAGTCACGGCACAAACCAATGTAACCAATGAAACAGACCGACCTGTACAGTTCTTCTATTTTTTCGGATCAAAAAATTCAGGTGTGTGAGGTGTCCTTCACTGTCGCCCATTCTGACTTGAATGGCTTGATGGATCTTCCGTTGCCATCTGAAAGGATAAGCCTCTGAATAGCAAAGCCTTCATCTGGATAAATTTCAAAGACGACACCAGTTATATCACCTTATCTCCGCAAAAGCCACAGCAACAAGCAGCAGTTACACAAAACAACACCAAAAATCACCAGAACCCGGCAGGCCACATGAGGCCGTCTCTACGCATCCGCCGCCTCAATCCACCTGCTGGTTTGTGCTTGCCAAGTTGCAGAAAGCAAAAAGGCGCCCTTCAAAGCGCACCAATTCGCTGAGCTCCATGCTTCGGTTCTTCACGGATAGAGTGCTCTCAAGTCGCTTGGTGTCCAACCATTCCAATCTGTACTGGCCCGTCTGCGCATCAAATAGAAGAGCACCTGCATGATAGATACAAAAACAACTCAAATATACTCAAATACACTCAGGTCGCTTCACACAACGTGCTTTGGTCACCAGCAATTGTTGTGAGGAGCGTAACACGCTAAAGTTTTTTCCAGCAATGGTAAACAAAGTGTCGAACCTCGGAGGAACCAAGCGTGCCATTTGAACTGCTCCAAGTCCCTGGATGCTTTGTCCAAGTCTGAGACAATGGCAAACTCAAACCTTGGTCAAATTTCCAAAACTCTCACCGAATTTGGTTCATACAACCTCCGTCCATCCGCATAGTTCCCCCCGTCGTGCAACCTGCTTGTGAACAGACCACCGAGCACATCGTCATATGTCTAGACTCTGCTAGAAGGCTGCGGACTCCCAGCCTACTTCGCATTTTGTGAGGAGTGATATTGGAGGAGAAGAGCTAAAAGAACCAGAACCAAGGAGGAGGAGGAGGAGGAGGCGGCGGAGGAGACGGAGCAGGAGGAGCAGCAGCAGTGTTGGGCCATCCATTAAGTGCGTTTGAGGGGCCTCGTGTGCCCAATCTCTTGGATGATATCAGTTGCCTGGCAGTTGCACAGCTCTTGAAACACTTGGCTTACAATGGCTTACACACGGCTTTCACTGCAATCATACGCAAACATGGGGACGCTACTAGGGGCTCCTGGCCTTACTACTAGTAACCAGAAGCTATTAGAAACAAGAATTAGAATTGGAATAATTCAATTAGAAGGTTTCTTTCCGGTTTGCTCCGTACCTCGCAGTTTTCAGAGCAGCTTTCGGGCTGCTCCGCTTCTGCGAAGAAGATCAGCGTGAGGGCAAAGCATGCAGCTCTGCAGAATGCCATGAGAAGTCTGTGCGTTCACAACAAGATTTGTCCGCAAACCTACTGTATGCCGTGAGTGTTTGCAATTTGGCAGGGAGGCTGTGGAAGGATCGGGCTGTCTGCCTCTTCAGTTGCTGGTCCAACTCTGTGCCAACCCTATTTGGAAGTTGACCGTCGGTGACCGCAAGCCTGCACCTATTTGAAGATTAAGCGAACATGCTTGTCCGAGTCCAGACCTATTATATCATGCCTTTGAATATTTAATTATATATAATATATTCAAATAAGTGGTGATAGTGTTTGTCATTGTTTGTCCATGCGGCTTCGCTTGTATCAAAATTTGTTCACCGTCGACTTTCAGCCAAACTCAGCTTCAATCAGCTGCACTTGCATGTTCTGCTCCAATGGCCACACTCAAATCATGTAATTCATCGGGGTGCTGCGCTCATGCTAAAGGCTCTGTCCTTCGTGGCATGGCGATCGCACAGGGCCTTACCACGATCCAGGCTGGCTTGCGTAGCTGTTCAACAAACACACTGCAAACAAGTGGCTCTGAAGCCGGACCTCAGTGCTCAAAGCAATTGAAACCGTCACGGGAGCAGAACGCCACAAGGACAAACAGCATAAAGGGGGGCACCGAATCCACAAGAGGAGCACCAGGCGGCTCAAGTCCCTGTCACGGCAGGTGTCAAGCCCATTCTGTTGCCAACATTTCAGAGGTCAAAGTACCGTGACTGAGAACTACCATGTTCTTCTGTCAAAAAGATTCTAGGTCGAAGTCCAGGTTCCTAGTCACGTAAATAGTCCGTAAGGCACTCTCGCTGTCCTCTCTTGCCTGCACGACCACATCACTGCCGGCAATGATGTGACTACTCCGGCTAGACCTTGGTGGTGACAAGTTGCACTGATGAGCCTTGGCTTTGTCACTTCCATGTGCTTGTGCAGCTGTTCCGAACAAGCCCTGAGCAATGTTCTGACCTGTTCACACTCCAATGACAAGGATGCATGCAGCGTGGTCTTTGTTTTCTGCAAGCCCCGCAAGCAGCCACCCGTAAAGGGCGGGCAAAGTCTAAAGTTCCTGTGCTCAGTTCCGAGAGCGAGCAAGAAATCAAGGTCAAGCACCCATCGTGCTCAAAATAGGCCAAGAATTGCACCGCTGCCAAATTGCAGCGCCTGTGGCGCTGTCCGAATTTGCAATTTACTGGATAGAGATCGAATTTCTGTACTGCATGTTTTTTCTGCGCTGTCTTGTTAGGCCAACTGTACACTGTCCAGATGCCCCGGAAGCAAAATTGTTCACAATTGTGTAATGTACAGCTCCCCAAGGTTGCACTTCTAAACGGCGCAAGCCCAAGTCTGTGGTGGCTATAAAAGCACCAGCCTCATGTGCTGATTTGCAAGTGCGCAGCAACCCTGCACAGGTCTGACTGTCCTGCCATCATCCGACTTGTCTTCCCTCATGCTCCCCTTGGGGCACAATCTCCAAGGTACTTGCCCGCTCTGAGCATTGCTTGGCCTGAGCACAAACAAGCGTATCTCTACATTGACATGAAACCTCATCATCACTACTCTCTGTGCCGCTGCTGCAACAAACAACTCCAGTCCTCCGTGAATCTGGGGCACCCACTCTCTGTTCAAAGTCTCGAGCCCAAGCTATGATCACAACGTTCTGTGAAAACGGTGCAAATACCAAGAGCCTTCCAGGCGCAGGCATTTCAAAAGCCCTACACTATTCTAAGGAAGATCCATGCTCAGCGTGAGCCTACAAGGAAAGGCGACAAAATGCCACCATTGCCCAAGCTGCACTGTTCAAGCAGCCTCACAGTAGCCGGCAGCTGCTGTTCAAGCTGCAAATCTACAGATCACATGCTAGCTCGCGAAAGTTTTCAGCCGCAGCTCGAGACATGCCAAGCTTCCTGAGACAAAGTTTGATGCTGCTTGATGATACGTGAAGAGCATATATAATGTATATAGCTGCAGCTCTGCAAACACGCTTCTTTCCCGCAAATTGGTAGTGTGGCATCTGGCAATGAAAACTTGTCCAACACCTCTCTATCAATTCTGCCTAACCAGTCGCCAAACAAACAAAGGGAGGGTGGGATAGGCGTGGGAGTCCAATCTTTTTGCCATCACGTGGGCGACGATCGGCCCAACTCAAACCCTTGCAACCAAATGTGCAACTATCAATCCGCGACAAAGGAAAACCCTCGACGGATCCAGGAACATGAACCTTACCAGAATGGATGCTACCAAGGGACAAGTTCACTGCATCAAAGGTCCTTGCCACTTCAGGGTCGGCAAGGTATGGTATGCAGCTTCGAACCATGTCACGAACACCATTCTTGTCTCCCGAAAAGCCATAGCTTTTCAGAGTCGGCTGCTGCAAGGGAAGGGCAAGTTCTGCCCTGCCAGGCAAGTGGTAATAGCCTCGTGGATCTTCTACTCGTCCAGCATTGAAGTTGGCTCTGACTTTGAGCTTGCGGATTTCCTCTTGAAATGAAGGGCCACTGAAAGCAATGATCAAGTTGTGGAGCATATCCATGACTGTGACCCTGGAACCAGGCTTCCGGCCAAAGCCTATGCATTCGGTAGGGTCCTTCTTTGAGTCAGGCAGCTTCATAGCACTGAAAAGTGCCTCGTTGATGGCCGCAGCATTCACGTAAATGTCTGGGTCATTTTCGAACGCTACAAAAGCACGCTGCATGTCGTGAACGCCTTGGCTGGATGCTTCGAAGCCATATGCTGGTATGATTTCGGCTTGGAAAGACCGCACCAAGTTCTTGAAGTCCTTCCAGCTTTCAGGATCATTACCCTGAGAGGCTCTGTATCTTCTGGCAATCACATGTAGCCTCTTCTGAAACCCTGGAGATGCAAATGCTTGGAGAAGGCAGTGCTGCAAGTCAAGCGCACTCTCCTTGGATAGGCCACTTAGAGCAAAATCGTCTCCAAAGTCTTCCGACTTCCCACTTGATAGTGGGGAGCGTGGTTCTTCCGTGTCCAGGGATTCACAGCGCTCAAAACACAACTTGACCTTGTTGCACCTGGACAGTGACTCGGATGATTCTGCAACTTCTTCGACTGCATCTATTGCATCACCCTCGGTGACGATGTGGGCAGGCCTGCAACTCTTTGGGCCCTGCGGGCATTCGCAATCACTCGCACAATTCATCATGGCTGCAAAGCTCCCACTATCACAACTGTAAGCCAAAAAAGCTAGGCTCAGAAACACACACTACAGCCACTTCATACTCTCCACCAACTTCCCCTGCAATTTCTCAAAAATCTGGACCTGACCTTTCTCATGCCTCACTCACAGTCTTCATGTCGCATTGTTTTCAACGCTGGCACGGTCCATCTTATATCTTATGATATCTTCTTATGTATATTAACTCATGTAACTTATCCGCGGCGCGTGACCTGCCCTTTTTATCTGCACGACATGTCCAGGCGCTGCCCTATTACTTCAGCCCTTTGCCACCACGTGGAGGAACCTGGCCTTGTTTCATGCACAAGCCACGGCCGTTGAAAAGGTTCCAACGCCCCAAACGGTAGCATCTGCCAAGTGGCTTTGAGAAGTGGTATTTGTACATCTGCGCTGAGATTCTTGAAAGCTTCCCCAGCTTCGTGTGGATGCTGCTGTTGTACTCCACTGCTTGCCAGGCCACATCATTCTTCTGACCTGGCTTTACCGGAAAAAAAGACTGCGAAGCTTGTCGGCAGGTGGTTTGCTGGCAACGGTCTCGGTCAGTCCAAGCAGCAAAGAAGTTCCATGAAGCTGACCAGCCAGGAAGGGTCTGCGCCTTGCTTGTAGCGCCCTCTTGTGCACGTACATAAAATAATACACCATAGAGAAGCATATAAAGCCACATAAGCCACCCTTCTGATTCAATCCAAAGACTACATAAGCTAGCGGCCAAAAAACACAAACCAGAGTTCAGTAAGGCAACACATGATGAACACGATAGAACTCGTGCGTGACATAGCCAGGCCACCAAGTCCAAGGAACCACCACTGCCATGCAAATCTTCGGTGGAGGGGGCTGGTCTGCAAAGGCATGCGGTTCACTCGACCTCAGGCTCTCTCCCTGTGGTGGTTGCACCGCTGTGATTTCATGCGGCTCTGCCATCCTGAGTGCCGCACCCACTTTGTAAGGTATGTCCACTTCAACATAGCCTGCCATGCCCCAAACCACAAAGGACAGGATTGCATAATATTATTACTGTAACATAGTCCATGAAAATGGCTATGCGGTCAAGAATCCCTCACCCACATCAGCCCAAAGCACCATCCTAGGTTTCGAAAGTGCTGAAGTGATTACGGGAGGTCACCGATTAATTAAATCAAGCCAAGGACCCTTTGCAGACTCATTGCAAACAAGTGTCTCATTGCGCTCGTGAACAGCACCCGCAAAATATGCATGATGGTTGTAAGGGATTCCCAGATTAAAGAATTCTGCTTGGCGGACAAACCCGGACTGCATGAGGGGCTCAACAAAGCCAAGTCTTTCACGTCCTGACCACAGCCAGGCCTGAGAATGCAGTTTTCCCAGGAATATACAAACATCTATATATACATATGACTATACTATAAATAAATATATATATATATATCATATACAGCTACACACACACACATATATATATACACAATATACACATATGATGTATCTTTCAGTTGAGGCGTCCGTGCGCACAGCCACCAGCCTAGGCTATACCTACCTGCCCAAATTCCGAGTGCATGCTGCTGCGCCAATGTGGACGCTCCACTTCAGGAAAGCTGGGAGCTTCGGAAACTTTTGAAAAACGTACAAGAAAGTTCACACCTTACGGGACATCCTCAGAAGCTGCATTATGAGCACTGTGCTGATTTAATGGTGCTGCGTTTGACTCGACACGAACTCCAAAAACGAACAGCAGTTTCTGTCATAATAAAATGGACGTTGGAATGGGTTGTGGGTACTTGTCTGCGTTATTGAAAACCAGAGAACATATGCATGCCTTCAACCAACCCCACCACCCCCCACCAACGAAACTAAAATTATCCCGGCAAGAGACCCCAAACAGTGTGTGTGAGGTGTTTGAGCAGAAAATCGAGGTGACGGTGGTGATGAAGGTGGGGATCTGGTGACGGTGGCGGGTGGTGAGTGCAAGAGTGAGTGTGAGTGCGAGCGATGAGTGAGTGAGAGTGAGTGAGAGTGAGTGAGAGTGAGTGAGAGTGAG